GACCAAGCTGATGCTAGAGTACATATAAAAATTCAAAGGACCCAGAATAGCCAAAACAATCTTGGAAAGAATAACAAAAGATAGAGGACTCATCAATTTTAAAACTTACTACAAAGCTACAATAATGATGTCAGGGTGCTAGCAGATAAGAGTAGACATATAGATCAATAAAATATAATTTAAAATCCTGAAATAAACCCTTACATTTATGTTCTATTTATTTTTGACACAAACATCATGACAATTTTAAGAAATGGTGCTGGGACAGCTCAATATCCACATGCAAAAGAATGAGTTTGGTTCCTTCTTGACATCATGTGTAAAAATTAACTCAAAATAAATCTTAAAAAGAATCTCAAACTGAAATTTTAGAGCTAGAAATGATAAAATTCTTAGATAGGAGTAAATCTTTGTGATTTTTGGTGAGGCAGTAAGTTTTTCATATGACACTAAAAGCACAAGTGATGAAAGAAAAAAAAAACAGAAAAATTAAATTTTATGAAATTTAAAAACTTTTGTACTTTAACAAAGACCATCAAGAAAGTGAAAAGACAACCTACAGAAGTGAAGAAAATATTTGCAAATTATATATCTGCTAAAAGAATCAGACAATGAATTTAGGAATTAAAACATAAAAGACAACCCAATTAAAAAATGGGCAAATGGTTTGACTAGTCATTTCTCTAAAGAAGATAATGTGCAATAAGTATATGATAAGATATTCAACAATATTGGTCATTAGAAAAATGCAAATCAAAAGCACAATGAATACCATGTCACACCCACTAGGATAGATATCATCACAAAGACTCACAAGTGTTGGCAAAGACATGAAAAAGTTGAAACCCTTTGCTCTGAGAATGTTAAATTGTCCAGCTACTTTGGGATACAATTTGGCAGTTCCTGAAAATATTACACATAGAGTTACTGTATGAGCTATCAGCAATTCTACTCCTAAGTATAAATTCAAGAGTTGTAAAAATATATGTTCACATAAACACTAATACACAAATACACATAGCAGCATTATTTATAATAGTCAAATGTGGAAACAATCCAAATGTTCATAACTGATGAAAGGATAAATAAAATGTGATATATCCATATAATGGAATACTATTCAGCAATAAAAAATGAGATACTAATACATCCTAGAACATAAATAAACCTTGAAAATGTTATGCTAAGGAAAAGAAACTAATCACAAAAGATCATATATTATGTGAATCCATTTATATGAAATGTACAAAGCCAAATCTATAGAGGCAGAAAGTAAATTAGTGGTTTCCTAAGGCTTGGAGAAGGGGAGAATGGGGAGTGACTTCTAATGGTACAGAGTTTCTGTGGGGATGATGAACACATTCTAAAATTAGTAAATGTAATACTAAAAAACTTGGAATATTACATATTAAATGGCTAAATTGTATTGGTATATGAATAGTACCTCAATAAAGTTGCCTTATAAATAAAACCAAAATAAAAGCTTTGCCCTGGCCAGTTTGGCCTAGCAGTTGGAACATTTGTTAATGGATGCTTCAGTTGTTTTCATATCTTGGCTCTTGTAAATAATGCTGCAGTAATCATGGGAGTGCAAATATTTCTTCAAGATAGTGATTTTGTTAATTCAGCTTATTTTTTTTTAAAAAAGCTTCTTTTAAATCTTTTGTAATTTTATTATAGTTATGCGGAAATGTAGGTTTAGAGAGCATGAGACTTCTCTGCATATTTCTTTGTAACTTTTTCTGAATCTATTAATTATTTCAAAATAAAAAGTTTGTCGGTGCATGTGTTTGTCAGGGATGTGTTTTACCTTAGATAATTTATTTTATACAATTGTCATATAACATCATTTCTTCATCGTATGGTCATTAATTTGCTTACTGAATTCCTTCATTCACTGAATATTAATTGAGCACGTATTCTATGGCAAGGCACTGCTGTAGGTCCTGGGTATAGATGCTGAGTAAAGACAAGGTTTGTCCTCATAATCTTACAGTTTAATACGGAAGACAGTTGTTAAAAAAAAACTAAAAAGAAATGCATAATTGTCATTATAAAAAATACTCTGAAGGAGAGGTCCATGGTGGCAAATAAAAGCTCCTCTAGAATTCTTATAAAGGACTGAACGAGATACCATATGTGAAATAATTTTACGCTAATGTTCATTAATATTTGGGGCTGACATGGAAGTCAGTTGTCTTTTTAATTCAGCCTTTCACAAAGTGACCCAATCACTAGCACTTTTTAGTAGTTTCATCCATCTCTTTGGCTGGACATCCTTCCCCTACCCCACTGCCCTGGAAATTTTGGGTGCTACCTGCCCACCCACCCAACCAGGCACATACTTGCAGCCCCTCACGCATACAGCCTGAAAAATACACTGCACAGAAGTGCAACTGGGCACGGGCCCCTGAAAAATTGGCCTCAGATTCTCCAAGCAGCTTGCTTTCCTTGCAGATTATGTCAGAGCAGTCAGAAACCAGCTTCTTGAAGGGCCTGCTAGCATCATGTTGGGAAGAATCCAAGCACTTTTGAGGAATTGCCAAGTTAAATTTTCAAATAGTGGCACATTTGCAGATATCAGTATCTATTCCCAAAGGAGATATTTGATACTTTTCTGTCACAGAAATCCCTTGGGACCATTAGTGTGGCCATAGCCATTTACATTTCAAACACTGAAATGATTCTTGACACCTATGATGAGAGGTAGGCAAACACATGGGTTGTAATGCAGGGACTAATATTTCTAAGAATGAGAGGATGAGAAATGTCAGTGGTGAGAGACAAGTCTTTAAGGGGACTCTGGGAGCCACACTATCATTAGATAAGAACCACAGGATTGAAGCATTTGGGATTAATGCAATCAACTCACTCAATGTTGGAGGTGGGGAAATTGAAGATGAATCTGAAATTAATGCCATAAATGGTGATGAGAGAACAGGAGAGAAATAGAAGATGGGGTAAGTGACATGATGAGTGTGGTCCTACTGAGTGGAAGGGCTGGACAACATTAGGTAGAGTTGTCCAGAAGACAGTTGGCCTTTTATTTCTGAAACTTTGATAAGGGGCTGAGATGAGATGTTCAAACAGAAGAGGCTGTTGAAGTGGTGGCAGCAGACATGCTCGCTCAAAGAGAGCCAGGAGCACTTGGTACTGATGAGATTCTAGTCTTGCTGCTCTCCCAAGGCCACCTCCTGTAGTACAGATTGAACCATTACCACATCCTTGCTCCCTGCATCTCCATAGAGATCATGCACACCTCTGCCTTCCACAGGGTCAATTTCTCTACCATGTCTGATGAGGACAAACAAAAGCAGAGGGCTGAAGACACCAGCTTCCATGGCTGACTTAGGACAAGGTACTGAACTCCACTTGCTGCAGTCCCTAATCTGCAACTGGGGATAATGTTTGTTTCTGCCCCCAGTGTTTGGGGGAATATTGAAGCTTTTATCTGTTAGTGCTCAACAAACATTAGCTATTGTTAATAGGTGGTAAGGAGCAAGGGAAGAATATATACAAAGAAAGAGTGGTCATCTACTTTTATTTACATAAAAGTAGCAGTTTGGTTTAAATTGTAACTGTTGACCAATAACATTCATGACACCCCACATGTAAAAACACATGAATATTTGTCTATATCCATATGTATGTAAGAATACATCTGTGTAAACATGCACACATGCATATATCCACATATGTAGATATACATATGCCTTAGTTCTTCAGGAATCTTCAGGAATCATTACTATACTTATTTTGTTTTTGTTTTTTTAGAGCACTGATTGCAATTGCAATTTTGCATGTCTTTGTGTGATTATTTGAAGTCTATCTTTGCATTTGGTTGAAGCATCAAGAGGGTATGGTATATGCATGTACCTATACAGCACCATGGACCTGTTGCCAAGCACTGACAATGACACACAGTAGGAGTTCAATTGCAGTTTGGTAAGTGAATGGATGGGTGGATGGAGAGATTAGTAATGAGTAGAGAATGGTATCCAAACAGCTACAATAAATTACTTTCTTAGACACATATTATTCTCGCATCAAATAACTCGAGGGAAAAGTGAATCTGTTAACTTCTCTAATTTCTTAATATACTTTTAAATTGAGTTTTGTTTTAAAAACTTGAAGAATAAAATGAATCACGAATGAGTCAAAATGAATTTCTGGATCATGAATATATGCTATAAAGTTAAAAAAATTTCTTCCCTGTCCTTCTCCTTTCCAATTTTACATGTAAGCCAACTCCTTGAAGGGGTTGTTAAACTCAACAACTTAACCAGCAAGTGTTTACTGAGCATGAATTCTATGTAAATTACACAAGCACTACATGAAAATGGCAAGGTGCATGCTCACAAAAAAGCTAAAATGTTCTAAAAGATGCAGTGATGAATTCCTGAGAATGAAGACACAGCCAAGGACACTCACCCGGAGTTGACTTGCTACCGAGTCACGCTGGCCAAGCAACTGCAAATGGTTCTTGGAACAGAGTCTTGGATTGTCTCTGGGTTCTTAGGGTCATTATGACCCTAGTAAAAGAAAACATATATTGTTATGCCTTGCAGACATGGGAAAGTCCCTTTACAATAATTTTAAGAGCACATAGACTACATTCCTTTCTTAAGATGTCCTGTTAAGATAGTTTTTAACCCTTTTCCTATTTTATATTTATAGTTAAGCATTGTTTGAGCTTAGATGTAACCTTGGGTGGTGGGGCACTGACTTATGTAACCTTACCTAATAAAAGCCATGAAGTTTAGGAGAAGTTTTGCTACAAGCCTGAGAGAGCTGTAGCCCTCCGTTCATCTTGAATACATCTTGTCTGCTGATGCTTTCTTCGTGTCTCAGATCACTTTAATCCAACAATACAGACATTTTGAAAACTAACTGATACTAATTGAATTCTTTTTATATTTCAAACCATGTTCTAAGCACTTTTCTAGGCTGATCACTTTTCTTTTTTTTCTTTTTGAGAAACAAAAGTCAAGTTTATTTGTTCATTTCTTGCATTTGAAGTACTCTTTGATGACATCTTTTGCCTGAGATTCTTTGCCATAGACCTTAACCACCACACGACTGCAACCAACCACTTTACCCTCTCTGTCGATTTTGCAGAGGCCTACCCATCCCCCTAGTTTCGTCTTGTCAACCTTAATGAGGTCGATTTGGTGTTCCACACAAAGGACCTCCAGCATGATATACATAGGCTCGTCACAGTTGGATGCCAGCACACAAAGGTGGGCTTGACGCTTGTCTAGCGCTTTGGCAGCTTCGTGAATTCCACGTGCTAGGCCATCGTGGTTGAGGATGGTTTTCAGCACCTCTTGTAAAGCTGTATTAACATGTATTACACCTCCAGCAGCAATGCCTTCCTCGGCCATGGTGGTGGGTTACAGGTAAAGCCAAATAATTTTTTTTTTTTTATCTTTATTGTTCAATGTATTACAAATGTTCCTCATTTTGCCCCCATTGGCCCCCTCCTCCCAACTCCTGCCCCCTCCCGCCTTTTCCCACACCACTGTCTGTGTCCACCGGTTATGCATATAAGTTCTTTGGTTTATTTCTTCCCACTTCCCCAACCCCCTTCCCTTTAAGGTTTGTCAGTCTAGCAACCAATTTGTACTTCTTAATCTCTTCACCTGTTGCAGCCATTCCCCCAACCCCCCTCCCATCTGGCAACCAACAAAATTTTCTATCTATGAGAATATTTCTGCTCTGCCTCCTCATTTTGTTTGTAGAGTCAATTGTCGATAGATATGTATTCATTGCCATTTTGTTCATATTTTTTATCTTTGTCTTCAAAAAGACCCTTCAACATTTCATATAATAACGGTTTGGTGGTGATGAACTCCTCTAACTTTTTCTTGTCTGGGAAACTCTTTTATGGCCATCAATTCTAAATGACAGCTTTGCAGTATAGAGTAACCTTGGTTGTAGGTTCTTGCTTTTGATCACTCTGAATATTTCTTGCCACTCCCTTCTGGCCTGCAAAGTTTCTTTTGAGAAATCAGCTGACAGGCTTATGGGAACTCCTTTGTAGGTAACTAACTGCTTTTCTCTTGCTGCTTTTAAGATTCTCTCTTTGTCCTTAACCTTTTGCATTTTGATGATGATGTGTTTTGGTGTGGGCCTCTTGGGGTTCTTCTTGTTTGGAACTCTGTGTGCTTCCTGGACTTGAATGTCTGTTTCCTTCACCAAGTTAGGGAAGTTTTCTGCCATTACTGTTTCAAATAGGTTTTCGATTTTGTGTTCTCTCTTTTCTCCTTCTGGCACCCCCATGATACAAATGTTGGTATGCTTGAAGTTGTCCCAGAGGCTCCTTACACTATCCTCATTTCTTTGGATTCTTTTTTCTTTTTGCTGTTCTGATTGGGTGTTTTTTACTTCCTTATATTCCAAATCGATGGTTTGCTTCTTGGCTTTACCTACTCTACTATTGAATCTGTGTAAATTATTTTTTATTTCAGTTAGTTCCTCCTTCATCTCTGACAGTGTATCCATCATTTCTGACTGGTCCTTTTTTATGCTCTTGAGCCCTCACTAAGTTCATTAAGGTTCTTTTTTAAAATTTATTTATTTATTTATAATTTTATTTTTGTTAGAGATGTTTCTCCTTTTTTACCCCATTGACACCGTCCACCCCATCCCCGCCCCAACCCCATCCCCGGGTTTGTTTTCCATGTCCATTGGTTATGCGTACATGCATATAAGTTCTGTGGTTTATATCTACCCTTCCCCAATCACCTCCTTTTCTGAGGGTTGTCAGTGGGTACCATACTTTCATGTCTCTGGGTCTACCTTATTCCTCAGACTGTTATGTTCATTATATTCCACAAACAAGTGAGATCATGTGGTATTTGTCTTTTTCTGCTTGGCTTGTTTCACTTAAGATAGTACTTTCCAGGTCCCTCCATGTTGTCTCAAAGGATAAGAGACAATTCTTTATTAGAGCTGCATAGTAGTCCATTGTGTATATGTACTGCTCCTTTTTTATCCATTTGTCTACTGATGGACATTTGGGCTGTTTCCAGATCTTAGCTATTGAAAATAGTGCTGCTATGAACATGGGGGTACATATATTCTTACTGATTGGTGTTTCAGGCTTCTTAGGGTATATTCCTAGAAGTGGGATCACTGGGTCAAATGGAAGTTCAATTTTTAATTTTTTGAGGTAATACCGTATTGTCAGTGTACTAGAGTCCCCTTTTCTCCACACCCTCGCCAACAGTTGTTGTTTGATGATTTGTTGATGGCAGCCATTCTGACAGGTGTGAGGTGATACCTCACTGTTGTGTGAATTTGCATCTCTCTTATGATTAGTGATGTTGAGCATTTCTTCATATGTCTCTTGGCCATTTGTATGTCCTGTTTGGAGAGGTGTCTATTCAGCTCCTCTGCCCATTTTTTAATTGGGTTCTTTGTCTTCCTTTTGTTGAATTGTATGAGTACTCTATATATTTTGAAAATTAACCCTTATCTGATGTATCATTGGCAGTGATGCTCTCCCATACAGAGGGTTGCCTTTCCATTTTGATGATTGTTATCTATTGCTGTGCAGAAGCTTTTTAGTTTGATGTAGTCCCATGTGTTCATTTTATCCTTTGTTTCTGTTGCCTTAGGTGATGTATCTGTGAAAATTCTGCTGCGTATGTCTGAAATTTTGCTGCCTACAATTTCTTCTAGAATTTTTATGGACTCACGAGTCACATTTAAGTCTTTTATCCATTTTGGGTTTATTTTTGTATATAGTGTACGTCGATGGTCTAGTTTCATTTTTTTGCATGTAGCTGTCCAAATTTCCCAACACCATTTATTAAAGAGGCTGTCTTTACTCCACTGTATGCTCTTGCCTCCTTTGTCAAATATTAATTGAGCATAATGTCTTGGGTCCGTTTCTGGGTTCTCTGTTCTGTTCCACTGGTCTACGTGCCTGTTCTTGTGCCAGTACCAGGCTGTTTTGATTACAGCAGCTTGGTAGTATAACCTGATATTTAATATTATGATTCCACCTACTTTGTCTTTCTTATTCAAGATTGCTGTGGCCATTCGGGGTCTTTTTTGGTTCCATATGAACTTTTGAAGTATTTGTTTTAGTTCGGTGAAATATGTCGTTGGTATTTTGATGGGGATTGCATTGAATTTATAGATTGCTTTGGGTAATATGGACATTTTAATGATGTTAATTCTTCCAATTCAAGTGCTTCCACTTTTTTATATCTTCCTCTATTTTTTTTTTCAATGTCCTGTAGTTTTCTGCCAATAGGTCCTTTACTTCTTTGTTTAAGTTTATTCTTAGGTATCTTAATTTTTTTGTGGCAATGGTCAATGGGATTGTTTTTTCAGTTTCTCTTTCTGTGAGTTCATCATTGGTGTATAAGAATGCCTTCAATTTCTTGACGTTAGTTTTGTATCCTGCTACTTTGCCAAATTCATTTATAAAGTTTAGTAAATTTTTTATGGAGTCTTTAGGGTTTTCTATGTATAATATCATGTCATCTGCGAATAATAACAGTTTTACTTCCTCCTTTCCAATTTGGATCCCTTTTATTTTTTCTTGCTGTTTCATTGCTGTGGCTACGACTTCCAGTACTATGTTAAATAAGAGTGGCGAAAGTGGGCATCCTTGTCTTGTTTCTGTTCTTAAGGGAAGTGCTTTTAATTTTTGCCCATTGAGTATAATATTGGCTGTAAGTCTTTCATATATGCCTTTATTATGTCGAGATATGATTCCGCTATTCCCACACTGCTGAGTGTTTTTATAAAAAATGGATGCTGGATTTTGTCAAATGCTTTTTCAGCATCTATTGATATGATCATGTGGTTTTTATTCTTCATTTTATTTATGTGTTGTATCACATTTATTGATTTGCGAATATTGTACCAGCCTTGCATCCCTGGGATGAATCCCACTTGGTCATGGTGAATAATTTTTTTGATGTATTGCTGGATCGGATTTGCTAGTATTTTGTTCAGGATTTTGGCATCTATGTTCATCAGGGATAGTAGCCTGTAGTTTTCTTTCCTGGTAGTGTCTTTTACTGGTTTTGGAATTAGAATTATGCTGGCCTCATAAAATGAGTTTGGAAGTTTTCCTTCTTCTTTTTGAATTTTTTGAAATTGTATGGGGAGAATGGGTGTTAGTTCTTTGAATGTTCAGTAAAACTTCCCCGTGAAGCCATCAGAGCCTGGGTTTTTGTTTTCTGGGAGAGCATTATTACCTCTTCAGTTTCCTTAGTTGTATTGGTCTGTTCAAGTTTTTTATCTCTTCCCGGTCCAGTTTTGGGAGAGTATGTATTTCTAGAAAGATGTCTATTTTGCTTTGACTGTCGAATTTGTTGCCATATAATTGTTCATAGTAGTTGTTAACAATCTTTTGTGTTTCTGTGCTGTCAGTTGCTACTTTTCCTCTTTCATTTCTGATTTTGTGTATTTGGGTTCTGTCTCTTTGTTTCTTGGTGAGTCTAGCTAAGGGTCCATCAATCTTGTTTATCTTTTTAAAAACCAGCTCTTTGTTTCATTGATCCTTTGAATTGTTATTATTGGTCTCTATGTCATTTATTTCTGCTCTGATCTTTACTATTTCTTTCCTTCTACTTGCTCTGAGGTTTTCTTTTTCTTTTTTTTACTTTCTAGTTCTTTAAGTTGTGAGGTTTGATAGTCTATTAGAAATTCTTCTTGTTTCTTGAGGTAGGCCTGTATTACTATAAAATTCCCTCTCAGAACTGCTTTTGCTGCATCCCATAGATTTTGTGTTGTTGTGTGTTCATCTTCATTGGTATCCAGGAAGTTTTTAATTTCTTCCTTGATACTCTCGGTAACTCATTCATTGTTTAATAACATGCTATTTAGCCTCCATGTGTTCAAATGTCTGTGCATGTTTTTGTTGCAATTGATTTCTAGTTTCATGCCATTGTGATCTGAGAAGATGCTTGATATGATTTCAATCTTCTTGAACTTGTAGAGATTTAGTTTGTTTCCTGTCATGTGGTCTATCTTTGAGAATGTGCCATGTGCACTTGAGAAGAATGTGAATTCTGTACTTTTGGGGTTTAATTCGCTGTAGCTATCTATTAAATCCATTTGGTCTAGTGCTTCATTTAGAGTCTATGTTTCCTTGCCATTTTTTTTGTCTAAAGGATCTATCCAGTGATGTCAGTGGGGTGTTAAGTTTCCGTGCTATGATTGTATTGCTATCGATTTCTCCTTTGAAGTCCTCCAGAAGATTTTTAATATATTTTGGTGCTCCTGTATTGGGTGCATTAATGTTTATCAAGGTTATATCTTCCTGTTGGATAGATCCTTTCAATATTATGTAGTGGCCTTCTTTGTCTCTAGTTATGACCTTCATTTTGAAATCTATTTTATCAGATATGAGTAATGC